TTTTATGCCTCCCTTTCAAATTTGTATTTGATTTCTCTTTCTTGACTACTTGCTCTGGATGGGACTTCCGGTACTGTGTTAAATAGAAGTCATGAAAACTAGAATCCTTTTCCTGATATCAGAGGAAAACCTTCCAGTCTTTCCCATTTGAGTATGATGTTAGCTGTGGGCTTTTCATATATGGCCTCCATTATGTTGAGAAAGCAGGGTAGTGCTGGCTCAGAGAATTAGAATTTGTCTCAGTGTGGGTCTCTTTGGATTTATTTTACTTGGAGTTTGTTATACTTCTTGTATTTGGGTATTCATGTATTTCCTCAAATTTGGGAAATCCCGATCATTATTTTTGCAAGTAATCTCTCTGCCCTTTTCTCTCTTTTCCCCATCTGAGTTGTCTGTAGTGCATATATTAATTTACCTAATGGTGCTTCAAAGCTCCTATAGGCTCCATTCACTTTTCATTATTTTTTCTTTTCTTTTTACTCTTCAGACTTGGTAACTTAAAGTGATGTCTCTTCAAGTTTGCTAATTCTTTCTCTTGCCTGTTTCACTCTTTGGTTGAGGCTCTCTCATGAGATTTCAATTCTGTAATTAGATTTTTCAGCTCCAGAATTTGTTTGGTTCTTTGCTGATATTCTAATTTTATTCCTATATTGTATGATTTCCTCTAGTTTGCTGTCCGTGTTCCACTTCAGTCCTGTAAGCATGACAAGACAATAGTTTCAAAGTCTCTGTCTAGTAAATCCAAAGTCTTATTTCTTTTGGGTCTATTTCTGGAGATTTATTTTATTTCTCAGAATGGGTCATGCTTTCCTGTTTCTTTTATGCTTTTGTGAACATTTATTGAAAATCAATCATTTGAAAAAAAATATCTACCACTCCCACTCTTTGCAGACTGGCTCTGTGCAGGGTTAGACCTCTACTAATCTGCCGGGTGAGGGCTTGTCACCTTCTCAGGTCTTCTGGGCATGTGTCTTCCCTGGGACTGTGCTTATGTTTTTTCCCAAGTCCCCCATAGACCTGCCTGTGTTTAAATGTCTCGATTTCCCAGAGAGCTCACCTCTGGTTTTCCCCATGGCAGTAGATGGCATACTGTGTTCCTCTGCTTGTGATCTCAGCTCCCAGGCACCCATGCATCTGTATTTTCCCTGTAGTTTACAAGTGCTGCGACCCCTGCCATGGCTCTCAGCATCCTCAGACCCGATGTATGAACTTTGTCACTGTGGGGGATGAAAATCACGTTTCCTTCCATGCTTCTATGTTCTGTGGCTGGTCTGAGTGGGGATTAAACATAGAGAATCAAGACAAAGACCAATGGACTAACAAAGAATCTTCATCCTCTGCAGAGAGGCCTGGCCATGAGCGCCTTCATGCATGGCCAGTCGATGCCCGGCTCTGGAAGTCATCCCTGGAAACAGGGCACGGCTGTGGGGCACCCCCACCCCCACGGCTCGGGATGGAAGCCTCCTGGTCCCGGGGCCTGGGGCCTGGCTGCTCAGGGCTCTCAGCTGACTCCCTCCCTGGGAATTGCCTCAGAGAGGGCGTGGGGACAGGACAGCCCGTGATATCTAGTCCCATGGTAGCTTTTGATGTGGGACTTCTCTAAAGAGCTGGCCCAACCTTAGAGCTGCCACTGAACTCAGGGGCAAAGGTCAAAAGCAAATGTCATTTTCTTCTTCCCTTTGGTGGGAAGCCTTTATTTCCTTGGGCCTGGGCTTCCCTTCCTCCAAGTAGAGGGGCAAGGCTTTTTACGTTTTGGGGCTGAGGACTTAGTTCAGCCAGTCCTGCCCATCCAAGGGTTAGTGGAATCCAAGGTTCTGGGTCCTTCGCATCCATGGGCAGAAGATGGAGGCAGGAATTTGAATTGAAGAGAGTCAGCCCTGAAGGTGGCCCTGACGGCCCCGGGCGCCATTGCTGGGAGATGGGGTGTCCTCCAGGCATGGGGGACCTGCACCCGCCCTGAATGGACAGGCCCTACGGGCCGCAGTGCTGCAAGAATCTGCAGGACCAGAAACATCTAGGGGTGGAGGGCATGGTCCCCTTAGCTCGTCCCATCAAGATGGTGGCCTTTCAACCATTTTAAGGAGATACGTTGACACGGTATTTGGCAAAAATATGATGAAAAGGCGTACTTTAGTGCACTGGGTTTCCATTTCTACCATGTGTCCACAGAATCACCAGGATTGTTTGCGAAACACAAGTTGCTGGGCGCACCCTTCAGAGCTTCTGAGTCGGGAAGTCTGGGAGGGGCTGAAATGTGCCTACTAACTTCTCAGGTGCAGCCGATACTGCTGGTGCCCAGACTGTCGTCTTGGAGAAAACAGGATGGACACGAGGCAGTGAGACACGTAAGGAACACAGCCCAAAGGTGTGTCTTTTCTTTATACGTGAGCTTGCTCAGAGGCTCACTGAGTGGCTCCGGCCTTAACCCCTCGGCTCGTGCCCCGATGTCAGACTTTGGCTCTTCATCTTCCTTGACGTCTGCATCTCCCTTGATGGCATCTGGCACTGTGTCTGGCACTGTGTGGACCTGTGAACTCGGGTCCTAAGTGGAGCCTCTGGAGCTCAGGTGAGTGAGCATTGCTGGCCCGGGGAGGTGCTGGCTGGATGCGATGGGCTGGGCCGTTTGTGTAATGCACATAGGTGACCAGAAGAGGACGAGAGTGAGGTTGGGGGGTTGGCAGGTGCCTCACTCGCCCAACTGGGAAGCTGGAGTGGGTAACACCTGCCCCAGGAAGGTTCTTTGCACCAAGGGTCCTCTGTGTCTCAAGTCATTCATTGCCTTGGGGAGGGGGGGAGAGTGTGTCCACACAAGAGGGGTCCTTTTGCTAGCTTGCAGGGAGGCCAAATATAAGTCGGCCAAGTTGTAGATGGAAAGAACGAAGTGGGAACAGAGCTGAAGAAGCTCTTTTTACAGCTCCCCAAAGGGCCCAGGGCTCATGTGTGGTTCCGTGGAGAGGACAAGGCTCCCCGTAACTGAAGGACACTGAACTGGCTAAGCTTGCTTCGATTTGCTTTAGAAAATAGACGTATGCGTGTTTCTCTTCCCTGGACACATCCCCATTTGTTACCAGTCTCTGCGTTACCTGGTTGGCTGAGCTCAGTGGGTCCCTGCTCCAAGCAGCCTCAGCACAACAGGGGTCCTGATAGATAGCACATTTTGGGACCCCACCCAGCCCCGCTGAGGCCGAAAACATGGGGCATGACCCAGCTGGCTGTGCTGAAAATGCTAAGAGTTTGAGAGACCCTGGCCTGGGACTTCTCACCTCCAACAAGCCTAATCTCCTGGGGAGCTTATTAGAGTCCGATTTTAGGAGCAATCATCAGGTCTTTCTGGCCAGTAGAAAGTCAGGGTTTGCCGGTGACAGGGAGACCTTTGACATCATTCAAAGCAGGGCACTCCTGTTTAAACAAGGGCTCTGGGGCCCCTGAATCAGAAACAAATAATGATCGTGTGTGGCAAAATGTGGACTCTTCTGCAGTGTGGACTCTGTAGAATCGACCGGCTCCATTTACCAGCTCCAGTCCCTTCCCCCAGTCCCGTGCTGGACCGCCGGCCTCCAGGACCGCCCCCATTCAGTCCCTTCGCCACGTCTCATCAGTCCTCGGCTTCCATTTTACCGTTTAACCTGATAACCCACATGTGAGGTTGTCATGGAGGACAGCATCCTGATCTGTTAGACTGTGTGGTCCTTTCAGATTCCGGAAATGGAGGCAGGCAGCGCCCAGAACCCACGTCCGTGCACCTGCTGCCTCCCTGGGGTGGCTTTCCTCCAGGCCATTGGCTCGGAGCCCCAGACGGAGCAGCCACTGCGTTTTCCTGCATCATGAAAATAGGAGTTGGGGCGCCTAGAGTGTTCGGTCAATGAAGCGTCCAACTTTGGCTCAGGTCATGATCTCACAGTTCATGGGTTCAAGCCCCTCATTGTCTGTGCTGACAGCTCGGAGCCTGGAGCCTGCCTGAGATTCTGTGTCTCCCTCTCTCTCTGCCCCTCCTCCACTTGCACTTTGTCTCTCTCAAAAATAAATAATAAACATTAGGGGTGCCTGGGTGGCTCTGTCGATTGAGCGTCCAACTTTGGCTCAGGTTGTGACGTCATGGTTCGTGGGATCAAGCCCCACATCAGGCTCTGGGCAAACAGCTCAGAGCCTGCTTTGGATTCTCTCTCTCCTCTCTCTGTCTCACCACTGTTCACACTTTGTCTCTCTCTCTCTCAATATAAATAACAAACATTAAAAAAAATAAATGAAATAGGGGTAGATTTGCCCAGGGTAGCCTTCACTGACTGATAAAAATAGTGTATTTTTCATATTCCAATGGCCCTACCTTCTAGGTCAGAATTCGGGTGAACTAGTGGGAAACATACATTTTCTTGATTATAAGTATCATTCTAAAGTAAGATTTTTTAAAACATGCATTTCCTATGAATAATAAGGCACGGATTTACTTTGGAAATGACATCAAAGGGTAAGGCAATTTGAAATTATACAGAAATTCAAGACAGTTTTAGAACAGGAACATAGGATTCTATAAGCCAAACTAAATGTAAAGAACAGCAAAATACTGTCCAATTCTCTTGGGAAAAATTGTCATTAAAAAAGAATGAGTTATAATAGGGTGAAGAAATATTCCTCAAACGTGTGGTTTCCATTTAATATTCCATCAGTGTTCTAAGCAAGCGTTTACAAAACGTTGGCATAGAATTGTTAGCCGTACATCTTGTTTCTTGCAGATTCACCTGTTTCTGCTCGATGCATCTTAGACAAAATGGTTTATCAATGTCAGAAAATAACGCTGGTTATTTCCTCCAGACGCTAATGCGAAACTATTCGGCGGAAAGGCAATTCCAGCCCCAGATTGCCCATGGCGGCGTTGTCACAGGCGTCTATGAAAGTAGAATGTATTCATCTGCAGCGTGTGGTTGGTTATCGGCACGGCCCGATTTCACCTGCCTTCTAAATGAGTAGAGTTTTAATTTCGTATCTGGACGCGGAAGGGAGAGCCTGTGTGGGTAGTAGTGATTGCAGTTGATGGTGTGAACGATCCAAAACAAAAGAATCCGGTGCACTTTCGATGGATGGTATTAATCCACTGAATTCTCAGAAAATTCCAGTCCCGGCCATCTATTCCAGGAGCATGCAGTAGGTGGCACCTAAAAGCTCTTTGGAAGCGAGCAGGCGCCATTTAAGCGAAAGCAGCCGCCGCTGCAGCAGCTGGCACAGCGCAGAAGTGGGTGATTGAAGACGGAGAGCGAGAGGAGGAAGGCCGGGCTGCGCGGCGCAGGTGCGGGGTGCGCGGGGCGCGGGGCGCAGGTGCGCGGGGGCGCGGGGGACGCGGGGCACAGGGGCGGAGAGCGCGGGGCGCAGGTGTAGGGGGCGCGGGGCGCAGGTGCGGGGAGCGCGGGGCGCAGGGGAGGGGGGCGCGGGGGGCGCAGGTGCGGGGAGCGCGGGGCGCAGGTGCAGGGGGCGTGGGGCGCAGGTGCCGGGGCGCGGGGCCCAGGGCGGGCGAGCCGCTGACGGCATCGTCACGGCGGCGGCGCCGGGGAGCGCGCGCCCCGCCCGGCTCGGGAGGAGCCCGCAGCGGCACAGCCGGCCCTGCCCCGTCCTGCGCGAGGCGAGCTCGGGACAAGCCCGGACCACGGTGGCGCTGCCCCTCAGGTAAGGGTACCCCTCTTTGGCGGAGGCTGCGCGGCGCCCGCAGTGGGGCTCCGACGGCCGGGCATCCCTGGAGCCCGGAGGAGGGACCGCCTTCATCGGGAGGGCGAGTCAGCACCCCGGCGCCTGGAGTTGGCGAGGGGGGAAGCCGCATTTCTGTATCCCTGGCGGGGAGCGTGCGCGTCTGGGTGCCCTGGTCTAAAATGTGTTCTTAAAAAAAAAAGGAAAGGAAAAGAAATCTGCCCCTTACACATCATTTGGGATTCCTTCCCAAGCAGGAGCTGGTGCTCGAGAGCGTTCCGTGGTGCAGGTGTTTGTCGCGTGGAAGTTGCTTGAGTGGGTTTGCGGAAGTGCCCGGGGACGTGGCTCCAAGCGGGAAGGGTGGACCGCGCGTTAGGACCGCTGTCTGCCTAGCTCGCTTTCCCTCCGCACCGGCTTGGCCGGACGGGGCTCAGTATTTCAATTCTCGTCTTAAATGTGCCTCCGAGATTTACAGGCGTCCCCGGCTGCGGCCCAGGTGTGAGGCCTGGGGGCGGGGAGGGGCCGCAGCTCCGAGTCTAGGTGGAAGAAATGTGGCTTCTCCAAAATGGCAACGATTCCTGTGGCCCCGGGCTCCCTGCGAGGCGCTGCTGGCTTCTCGCCCTGCGGGAGCCTGGCTGGGTCCTCCGTGCAAACGAAAAATGCTGGTTTTCTCCTTTAAAGCTCCAATACCCAGCCTTGGGGGTTTGGGGGACTTTTAGTAGGACGCAGTAGAAGCCCCTGCGTCCCCGGTCACATCCACGGGACGGTGGAGTACAGCGTCGTGGAGGAGTCCCGTCCCAGCTGAGCAGTGACAGGCGTGCAGTCCTTGGGGATTTATTCTACATATTCGCCCTTAATGTCTTTTGAACGACCCCCTTCCACGTGAGAAGCCAGTCTGAGCAGAGGAGACCTTTCCTGCTTTGAACTAAAAACCCATAAAATATTCTTTTTAAGGAAGATTTTCTAGGTAACCACGAAAGCCTGGAGCATTTTACATTCCAGATCAGTCCGAATGCTTTTCTTTTCCAGTGGCATTTGGATTTGAAGAGGTGGAGTGGGAGGGAGAGAAAAGGGGAGGGTAACATTAGAATAAATTTAACAAATTTGGGGGAGGGGAATAATACTTTCTTTGTTTTTGTTTTTTGGTTTTGGTTTGTTTTGTTTTTTTGGTCATTGCCTGAAATCGCAAATTGCCAACAGTTCTGTCTCTGGAGATGCAGGAGCCCACATTCCTAGGGGCTGAGGCACCGGAGACCTAGAGTTCATCTGACGGAAAGAGAGGAGACAAGGCAGGGAAGCACCGTCATCCTCTTTAACACATGGCCCTTAGTGCCTTTGGCAATAGGACAATGGCCCCGGAGCACACAGGCAGGGGAGGGGAGAAGGGACTATCTTACAGCTCCTGGATTCGCTGCTTCCTCCTCCTCCTCGGTTACCTCTGCAATGGCAATTATGTGTGCATGGTTATTGCAGAAACCTCCAGAATCTTTTCTGGTTACAGCCTCAATAGTTGCTCCTAAGGAGAGACTCAGAAAACAGCCACATCGCTTTCCGAGTTGTGGGAGTGCCTCTGCGCTCCTGTCCGGCAATCGGGCGTTCTCAGCCGTCAGCCAACACTGTCCCCACGCGGGTACCTGCACGGCTTACTGAAACATGAAACCCCTTGAAAAATAACGAGGGTTCTTTGTCAAGAAGAGAATGACTCCGTGACCGTGAAAACACGTCCGTTTTTTTGTTGCCGTAGGGGATATGTTGGTGCATTGCAAGTTACCTATTGATTTGGACAAAAGCATCATTTCCCTCCTAGATGAACGCAGTGAATTTTTGCACTAAAAACATTTCCTTGTTATAAAGAGGAGCATCTGGTTTTCTGTCAGGAGGAGGTTGCATTCAAACTGTTATAAGTTAAAGAGGCCTCAGTGCTGACCTGTAGCTTTCAATTCAGGTAACCACTGTGTCCAATTCTCACTTATAAGGGGTTAGATATCTATGTATCTATCTATGTATCTGTGTATCTGTCTGTGTATCTACCTGTGTATCTATCTATCTATCTATCCATCCATCCATCTGTCCACATCTTTATCTATGTCTATTTTTTCTTTTTCTATATATTTGTCTGTCTGTCTGTCTGTCTGGTTTGGGTATTTACAATGGGCAGCTATCTCTTTAAAGACAGCTGATTTCTAGGACATTGTTTTTGGTTATGATTTTTCTAGGAAAGTATCTGCTCTTAATGCAAAAGGCAGGTGGTGGCTCTCACGCTGTCATGATTGGTAATGTTCTTCTACAAGTTGGAGCGGCGCAGGCATGTTAATCAAGGATTAATCTGAAGTTGTTTCATTGATGGCAAATTATGCTTTTGTATACGTCACTGTATGATGTTTCTTGCAAGCCTCTCTTCCTTCACCAGCTAAGTACTCTTCGAAGTCCTCCGAACAGATATGCCCTGGTCCTCGCATCTTTTGCTCCCACCACTGGCCAAGTCAGGCAAAGAAAGATCCTTGGGGGCTCTGTCCTTCGTGCAGTTAAGGGCTGTCCTATGAATCGGTACTGTCCAAAAGGGACAAAATGTGTGAGCCGCAGGCTTACGTTAAAAATGTCACACTAGAAAAAGTAAAGATAAACAGGTGTAGCTCATTTTAATAGCATATTTTCTTTAATCCAATCAATCAAAAATGACTATTTAAAGATGTAATTGATACAAAATACGGGTAAGATATTTTAGAAGTTTTTTGTTTTCATGCTAAGTCTTAAATTTGTGGAACATCTCGAGTTGGAGCAGCCACATTTTAAGAGGTCAATTGCCCAGGTAGCTGGTGACTATTGGACTGGCCAGCATGGCCACAGAAATACTTTTTGAGGAAGTAATTTAAAAGGTGAAACATTAAGAGCTGCTAAACTGACCCAATTAAACACTATCAAAACTAAATATACAGATAATCTCAAATTGCTAAGAGCCGTGGCCTGCCTTTCCCTACCATTAGCTAGTTGTGCCATCTTAAAACCCATTTTTGCTTCGTTAGTAGTAAAATAGGAGGATTGGGTCAACTATCTGGTTAGGTTAAATACCTTGCATCAAAAATACTTGGTTCTCTGAAAAACAACCAGTAGTTAGACTTGTGGATTCAACCTGCACTCAGCCTAGAGAGCTCTGCTGTAGCAGAGACAAAGGGGCAGAGCTGGGAGGTGGGTGCTGCCGTTTTGCACAAGTCTTGTTGGCTTCTGTCCAATCCTTGATGGCGGACGTCGGCAACTAAGTCTCTATGTCCCATTGGAGATCATTCAGTTTTCATATTTAAATTCCTTTACTGGGCAGGCAACAGCACATCCATTGTAAAATCAATAAACAGCCAGTGGGCTGGTCTTCAGCGCATGATTGAATAGGCTTCATGGATCTTTCTTCATTATCCTTTATGGTATGTGTATGTATTTTCAATGTTTCCATCCATTTCAACACCATTAAATAAAGTCTGGTGAGATGTAACGCTTTATAATTGACCCATGAATACTGACTTCTTGAAACGCAGACATGAGGAACCTTCATGAAAAGAGGTCAGTTTCTTTACCCAGCCCCTGGATGGCCTCGGGGGTCCGTGAGGGATGGAGAGGCCGGTGGCATTTCCGTCGCATGGCTGCCTGTCTGAGAAGCCAGGATGGGAGGTGTAAAGAGAGCAGCTTCTTACATTAAAGGAATTGATGCAGTGTTTTTCTAAAGCTAATTAGTGTCCGAGAGTGATTGGTTTTCTGGGGAAGAGGACACGGGGACTGTCTACGAGGACTCCCTCCTCCTCCCCCATCCACGTCCACTGCTGAGGCTGCAGTCCAGAAGGGCCCATGTGCTCGTGACAGAGGAGCTCAGACGGAGGAGCCCTTGGAGGGGACGCTGTCCATCCTGCGTCGTCTTCGCAGTACGATGGCCTTATTGCGGCATGCCTGGGGCTTTGGAAGGTGGCGTTTACCTTCTGCTGATACTGGGCAAGGGGGAAAATGGTCAGTATCCGGTCTCTGCATCCGGAGCAAGGCTGGGAGCTCACTCAGTTCTACGACATCAAAACTCCAGCTCAGTGGGATTTTTCTTATCTTATGATCTTGGACACACCCTCCTCACCCTACCCCCCAGCTCTCCCCCCACCTCCCAGTGCCCATACGCACCCACGATCAGCGGGCTGCCGGCTGCCCCTGCTTGTGAAGGGCCCCTGGGATTTAAAGTCACCTGTCTGTGGAGCTGTCCCCGGACACTGGGGATACAATACCCCCAATGGTCTGCCTTTTCCGCTGACGAGCTCTCCATCGATACCTGTTCCTCTTTGACGAGACGCGGTTGTAGTCACACCCGATTATAATGCTGGCTCCTTACCATTCATCACTCAGCACACACGCCAAATGTTTCAGGACCTACCCTCCTTTATGCATCGGATCTATGCTCTTGGCAAGGGACTGACTCTGGCGATTGGGTCAGAGAACATACACAGCGCCCTTTACTAGCCGCCTAATGGGGCTATTGTGTTTTTAAAGCAAATATGAGACCATTCTGAAAGTTGCTTGGCATTATTAGAAGTTTCTATAAAAAAACAAACAAAAAAAAAACCCAAAACCCAAAACAAAACA